AAAACTTATGAAAAAAAATTTTAATTTGAAATTTGTGATTTAAGAGCACTTAGGGAGATACTATGAAAATCACTCTCTAAATAATACTTAAAAAGCAGTTATGTACTATTCTCCAAGTGTATCTAACTTTACATAAAGATATTTGTTAGAATATTTTATACTATTTTCAAAGATAAAGTGCAACCGCTTTCTATTTTTTTTTAGTGTATAATAACTTGATTAAAATTGTTATTAATTTGTTTTTTCACTCATTGCACCAAAGACTCAACCTCATAGGTTAGATCCTATTTTCTTGCTTTTGAATTAATGTAAATGAGATAAGATTAACATTAGTGATAGAATTCTCCTTTTAAATTTTAACATAATGATTTAAGAAACTCTTAGACTTAACATTTTCATTATGAAATTTTAGGTTATTTTATCATGTCCTAGGTTATCTTGAATCTAATACACCATTGCTAGCATTATTATGTCATATGTTATCTTGAATGCTTCCCTGGATAAGGCGTGAGCATTCTAGGCGAGCATGTTCATGGTCTACATCAACATACCCTATGTTTGAGCACTATTCTTTGTCGAGGATGTGCTCAGGAGGATCATGTTTGAGCACGACATATATTCAAGCCTTATGACATCAAAAAATAGAAAATTAAGATTTTTAGAGATCAAATCATATATATATATATATATATATATATATATATATATATATATATTTATTTATTTATTTATTTATTCTACACTATATAAAGCGTTTCACTCTTTCTGTTTAGAATATATTATTATCATTCTTTCTGCTCTCTAAACACCAAAATCCTATACAATTAATCTAAAATTCCCTCTCTTCTGCCTTTCTGAGCATTGCCTCTATGGGTTCTCCAAGACGTGAATTCTTCATCGTAGCATTATGCTTCCATTAGAGCAAATTAATCATAGAGGTTTTGTTTCCTATTATTTGTGATACAGATATTTTTTGTTTATTTCATCTTTATAACTATGTATAAGTAAATATTTTGTCATGGATTTGGAGTAAATTTTTATAATAAAACTTTTTTTAAACCCAGTTTGAATTTATAATATTATTATTATTATTTATCAATTATAATTGCTTATTTGTTATTATTTTTATTTTTGAATTAGTCAATTCAAGAGTTTATCCTAATTAATCAATTGATGAATTACCATATCAATAATAGGTTAATAGGTTAAAACTAAGGTAATTTACAATTAAGAGTTATGAAAATAAATCTATCACTTAATTTTCCAATTTTTAATTAAGTTAATAAATCTAATATTTTTTAATATTTTTGTGTATTTTTTTTTTGCTATTAATATTTTTGTGTATTTTATTACTTCTTATTGTTATTAAGGTATATATAGATGAAAAAGACTATCATTGTTCTATAATCATAATAGTGAATTAGATGATTAGTAATTACTCTAATACAATTAAATATAATTGAATTAGGATACATACAAGTAATTACGAGAATAAAGCGAAATCACAGACTTTAATCCATATCAATCAACTTTGTAATTTATTTTTTTACTTTTTACTTTTTTATAAATTCATATTATTTTTGTATTATTTTTAATCCAAATGTCCTCTACTTCTAAATTTAATTAACATCCGAATAACAATTATAATAAATGGTTGCAAATATAGGCTCTATAGAAATGATATTGGAAATGTTTAAATACTATTTTTTTTTACTATAATCGACAAATACAATTATTTGTAAGTTGAAAATTTTTTAAAATATTAAAATTTGCGAGAAAATTCGTACTTAAATCAATAACTTCTTATCAATTCATTACTTTCTTGGTACATATTCAATACTAGCCAAGAATATTTTGTTTTAATATTTTTTAACTATGCTCTTTAAAATTATTTTTAAATATCTAAGAGTAACACATTTTATTAAAAAAAAATAATATTTATTATATGAACATATAATTTAGTTTTTTTAATAAAAATTAATTTTTTATACTCAAGATCAAATCAAATATTTACTATAAAAAAGATGAGATATGAAAATTAAATAAGAATGAAATATCAAAATAATAAATTGATATAGTATATTATTTTATGATATTTAGTTTTAACTTAAATTCTTCTTATAGAATAAAATTCACACAAATCTATGAAATAGGTTTATTACTTTTAGTTAAATAAAAAAAATTATCTTATCTTATTATTATTTTTAATCCTGTCTACCAAACAAAATTTTTGGATTAGGTTTGGAACCGTATAAACCAGCAACCGTGTAGGATAGCTAGAATGTTTCTCACTGGAGTCAGAGAGAAATGCCACAAATTCATTTAAATGTGTACAAGTGTTGAAACTCAAATTCAGTTTTCTTCCACAATAATTAAAGTTAAAAAAAAAAAAAACACGTTTGGAGGTGAGCTTAATATGAAAATGCCCTAAAATTTTATTAGACTCAAGAATCTCAATTTAATACATACATATTTGATATTTTAACTAAATTAAAAATTTATTAATATGCATTTAATCTTATAATAATTGACATGTATTTATATTATAAATATTTTAGTATCTATTAAAAGTAACGAGGGTATTGTTTGAATTTTTTTTAAAGAAGGTAATTGATAAATTAAGTATTAAATATTTTTAAAATTATAGAAAATTAATTTATTTAATAAGACTTTTATTATGTTGCTTAATAAAAAAATTTATTCCAGCTATTAAATAAATAAAATTAACAGTCATAGAAATAATAAACAAAATAAGTCAAACAACATTAACTATATAAATAAACATATTTCGATTATGCGTGTCTCTCTAGTGTGACACACACAACCTTTTTAATTATTATTAATTCTGACTATTAAAGCCGAAATTAAATTATAAACTAAGTGGATCAGTACAAATGAAGTTAATTGGTTTGCATATATATTTCTGTGAATATTAAATTAAAAATTAAAAATAAAATAATAAAATAAAATTTTGAATATATATATTTGATAGGTAGATAACAGCACTTTAATGAAAGAAGTTGCAACAATTCCGTGAATGTTGTGGCCAGCAGTGTTTTCAAGTACAATCACATGGAATTCTGTGATTTGCGGAGAAAATTTATATGTAGCCCTGAATAGAGGAGCGTCAGTTTTTGATAATCACATGATGATGCTCATAGAGACATATACACGAAGGTCCACTTTGTTAGCTTAAAAGCAAACACTCTCTTATTATCACACTTGAGATCCAACCCAATTTGGGAGCACGCACGGAAGTGAAACCTACGTTCTCTCTCTATATTCAGAAAAGTTCAAAGTAAGTACTCGAATCAACAATTTCTGAGCTTCAGATATTATATGCTAAGTAAAAAAAATACACTTTCTTTTCAAGAGGAATACAAGCTGCTGCAACAATTTATGAGCTTATGGGGTCTATTCTATTCTACTTTTTTTTTCAATTAGTTTTCTTTTGGAGGAGACACTGCATCATTTCAGGGTGAACAGAGAATTATCGAGTTCAAATAACATTTATAGATTACTTACATTTACCTTAAAAAAAAATAGTAGAAGTTTAAGATTCCTATTAAATGCAAAAACTCTGTCTTGCTTCAGAATGTTATAATTTAAATTAGAACTAGATGTGATAAAATATTTTCATCTTCAGTTATATGCATTTTTAAATATGTCTTTATTTAAATTTATTAGAAAATATAATAATTATTTGAATTCTACTTCTAATTTAATGATTTTTGTTTATACTTTTATATTATCACTAGTTATATTTATTAGAACAGATATCTAATCATGGAAACCATTAATAAAGATAATTATATATCATAAATTTATGCTTTATTAAATTGTCAAATTGAGGTCTTATATATTAAATAAATGAATATATTTATTTATTTGGATAATGTGTAAATGAATTTGTTAACCCAAATTTTATAATGAATAAAAATATAAAAAATTAAAGGTATTTTTTTTTATATCTCAATATGATTTGGGAAATCAAAACATACGGACAAGAATTATAAAAATTAAAATAATGAAAAAAATAAAGATAAAGACACACAAACATGCACTTTCAACATAATCTTTAATAAAAAAAAGATATTTGTTTATTTGTAGCCAGTGCTTTTAGAATATAGGTATAAACTCTAAAATTGACTGCCTTCTATTGAAAAAAAAATGTTTTTTATTTATCTTTTAAAATAATATTTATCAATATAATTTTGATAAACTCCTACAAAAATTATATATATAATTAATATAAAAAATAAATAAAACTTTTTATAAATTAAAAATAATTCATAATTCTCTATTTTATACTTATTATTTTATAAGAACTTTTCTAAAAGTTTGTTTAAATTAAGTAATATATACCACTAATCTTTAGTCTCTAAACTACACTCTTATGTGTAAAAAAAAACATATAAAAAGAACTAAGGTATATATGAAATGTAAAAATAATAAATGAAAGATAAAATTCTATCGAAGATTATAAATAATTTGAATATAAAAAAATATTTATTTAAAAATTGAGGATTCGCTGATATGTGAATTGATTTTGGTGTTAATAGTTTCTCATTTCTAAATTTCAAAGACTAGTAAGCCTAGTACCCATGGCTTTTGAATGCAAATGGCCAAATGTTTTCTTGACATCCAACATCACTGTCTACGTTATTGTACTCTCTCTATCTATCTCATGTGTCCTCGTGGTCCTTCCTCTTCCTTAATTATATTTTTCTTATCACTTTCTCAATTCTCACTTACTCTTCTCTTCTTCCCTATATATCCCCTTCTCCTTCTTCCACCCATATATATATACCTTGTTTTTCATTCCTTACTTCCCAAGTTCCAACCAAAGCCATTCATTTTTTGTTTCGTCTTCCTTCCTTCTACTTCTATACATAGATATTACAACTCATCATAAGTATTGAGTTAGAGCTACAAATTTAACTAGGTTCCCACTTCGAAAAAAAAAATATATTTATACACAATTACACCCATTTCTAGCTATGTCTAGCCGAAGGTCCAGGCACCAATCGGGTTCTACAAGGATCTCTGATGACCAAATCATCGACCTTGTTTCCAAGTTGCGTCAACTTGTTCCTGAGATTCGCAATAGGCGATCTGACAAGGTATAATTTCAATTTTCAAAATTCCCTCTCTCTCTCTCTCTACCCTTATGATAATTTATCGATATATTCTCATATTATTTTTCCCAAAAATTTTTGAAGTGGTTCGTTCCTTGACATGGTTTCACGTATGCTGATGAAGATATATCTCAAATTACAAAAACACAATTAAACAACTCAAACAAACAATACTTTTTTGTTTGTTTCTGTGAAGTGATAGAGTAAGATTGTGCTAACGATCATTGGGGCATGGCTCGTGCAGCACATGTCAATCTTGTATTATAATAAACTAGAAGTTCTGGGATAGTCAGAATTTGACCCGTATATTGTGGACGAAGTTCCAAACAAGTTCAAAATCAATACAAATCTCCATAGACTTTAAAGGGTTCCCCATTAATATATATATATATTGCAGAAACCCAGAATAGAAAAAGGATTTTAAAAACAAGGAAAAGAGTCATCAAGTGGTTAGCTTTGACCAACTCATGCATGAAATGAAACTTCCTGTGTGGGCTCAAATAGATTGCATAACAATAAATTTGGAGTAGAGGGTGATAGCATTTTCCTCAGCCACCATGTGTTGGATTCTAATAAGATTCTTCCTTCTCATTCAACGCTACCCATTTCATGCAAAGTACGGCATGTGTATGTGCAGCAGAAAGTGACTCGTAGGTAATGGAGAGATACTGACTTTTTTCAGTGCAGGTTTCAGCGTCTAAGGTCCTACAAGAAACCTGCAACTACATCAGAAGCTTGCACAGAGAGGTGGAGGACTTAAGTGAGAGGTTGTCTCAGTTGTTGACCACAATTGATGCTGATAGTGCTGAGGCTGGTATCATTAGAAGCCTACTTAATCAATAAGTGAGTATTACGATTTTTATTTAATTCGAGTGATATATATAAGAGTGTGTACTTCATTTTAGGTGTGTTGGGAGCCTGAGAGAGTGCAGTTTGAGACTGTACCTTTCATATGGCATGTAGGGCACTTGTTAAATAGCTTTTTTTTTTTTTAAATAAAAATTAAGTACTTGTACTTGTACTTGCTATGTATGTGCCTCTTTTTATGGATGGCCAGAACGTAGCAGTTGATAAATTTATTAAGGTGCTTATTAGTTACTTAGGGGTTTGATGCAGAATTGTAAGAGACGCATATTTGATGAAGAATATATATATTTAATGTTTGTTTATTTTGTGTCAATTAAGAGGTTATGCATGGATTGAACTCGTGCTAAACACTACTCAGTGTAAAGAAAGTTTGTTTATATCTGGATAAAATTGTTAGTTAATGGAGGTTGTAACATGAACAATTTGCAGACCAGTTTTAATTACTTGAGATTGTGTCGGTAAAGTTGGGTTCAAGTTTCTATAATAATGCCTAGACTGAAAGTATTTGACATGAGAGTGATTTGATCTAATGTTGGACGGTTTGTTAAATAATATAGAAATCCACTCTTTTAGACTTTTAGTGTTCAGAAAGAGACACCTAATTGAGACAGATACCCTCAGAAAGTGTCTTCGTTCATAAGTGAAAAGTGAAAGAGAATTTGGAATGTAGTGGTTATTCAAGGAAGCGTGCTTCACTTTCTTTTGCCTATTTTTTTTTGTTGTAACCATTTACTTATATGGTTACTTCATTTTTTATTTTTTATTTTTTATTTTTTATATTTTTTGTAAGCGTGAAGTAGTGGCGTAATTATAGGAAAGTAACAAAAGAATATAAATATGAGTCATTATTTTTTTTATATTTTTTTATATCAGTGTCTTAGATTTAAATGAATCTTTTATAACTATGTAGCATATAACATATCCTATTAGCAAAAAAGAAAAAAGAAAAACCATGTAGCATAGCCTACTTACATGTTTTTTTCAAAATAATATATCAATCGGACATTTCATGTCTCACTTACGCCATTTTAATAGAAGTTTCCTTAGAAAAAAACTTATATTAATTTAATATTTTTGAAACTAAATTACACCTTTTTTGGGTAACGTGTAATTTAAAAAAACTAAACTAATTTAATAAGAAAATGGATATGTATGTTATTAAAAGAAAAGATAAAGTAAATTTAGAATACTATGAAAATAAAATCACTAAAAACATATATAATCTCCGTCCTCAAATCAATTTTACTCATTCAACAGTAAAGTGATCTAGCTTCGTGATAGGAATCAAAGCAAAATCGAGTTATGTATATTTTACTTGTTTACGCTGTCCTAGTCTGTCTTTTCCATTTCTGATTGATAACAGAAAAGAAAAAAAAACTTTTTTGCATTGTAAGAATTTAACGAAAATTGAGAAAAATTATGAGGCATGCATGATGTGATAATTCAGAAGAACCTTTATCTCTTACGGGCGCCTTACCACGATCACAATTACCGAACAACAATTTTGTCATTTGGTGCCTTAGTTTATGAGAATTTTATTTTTATATATAATATTTTTGCACAACTCTAAAATAAGATGAATGATATGATTGGAAGAGTTATTAAAAAAAATGAATAATAAAAGAGGTGTTATAAAACGTGTGTGTTGGAATAGCTTTATCTTTTATCTTACAATGAAAAATGCTGCAATGTCTCCATTATCACCATTGACAATATGCATGATCACCATTCCCATTCATTCTTCTTCATCCACGCTTCACCTGTCAATGCCTTGGCCACCTCTATAACAACGACAACATCTATTCATTATCATGTTTGGTACGATTAATTAACTTCTCATATTTGTTACATCTTTATTATCGCCGACATGACTTAGCTACTTGGCCACCATGACCTTCCACACCATGATAGACTTATTTAACATTGTCACCTTCAAACTCTGATATGTCCGATCATCTTCGTACCTTTTGATGTTTGCCTCACAATTATTGTAATTGGACACAACTCGTGAAAATGCCTTTTTCTTTTGGTCATTACTATAGTGAAAGTGCCTCAAACACCATCCCAATCCCCCCATCATCTTTTTGTTAACATTCTTCATTTCGATCCACAACTAATTAGAGATACCCTCCACCACAATATCAGCAAATTCTCTAAGAATCAACAATTTTTTTAAAAGAAAAAAATTGCTTTTTGCAACAAGTCTTTGATGGAAATACCTGTGCAGAATTTTATTTTTTTTATCCAAATAGATTATTTTTACAAGAAAGTAGCAAATATGCCTTTCCTTTACAAAAAGTAAATTCTACTTTTATACAATGTTTTACACATTTTTATAATAAATTTAGAGAAATAGGGAAAAAGAGTGTGAACTAAGATATATATATATATATATATATATATATATATATATATATATAGAGAGAGAGAGAGAGAGAGAGAGAGAGATGTAATATAAGTTGTATAATTTTATATATGAATATAATATTGTTTTGAAGGAAAAAAAAAGCGAGTTGATATCCATGAAATCATATTTAGTAATACTTGCTAACATACCCACTTTCCCTCATTCTTTAACACTGAAATGCAGTCTATACACACCAATTGTTTGAATGTTTGACAAGTGACAGGGTTTATTGATTGCGCTGCACAAAAATAGAAAATTTATATCTACTCACAAGTAGAAAAATTCTAACCAAATGATATTTTAAGGACACTAGTTTAAAATTTTAAAATAAAGTATTTTATTAAATAACATTAAAGTAGACTTAATATGTTTTAAAATACATTATAACATTATAATATAATTTTCAATAAAAGTTGTATTTGTTAATTCTTTAAATAAGAGCTAACAATTAATCTCTAAATTTGTTTTTAATGATAGACTTTGCATAACAAAAAAAATATTTTTTTAATAACACTGTAAATAGCATACGTATACACCAGATAATTTTACAAATTAATATAAAAAAATGATATATACAACTGGTGCATTATATTATTAATATATGTGATATATCATACTTCTAGTATATATAAACCTCCAAAATTTATGTTAGCAGTTCAATTAGGTTAACCAAAGGAAGCCAAGCAAGTAACCAATGGTTTATAGTTTGTGATGGTATGGCTTCAATCATTTGGAGCACAAATATAATGATCATTTAAAAATTTTACGACTGAATCTTGTTTCTATTTCCTCTGATGTATATGTATTCCATTAGTTTGTCACAAGCTTATTAAATACGTACTCTACCGATCGACTTAATTGAATTTCAATATGATATAACATTTAATTCCAATGGAAAACAAGGGATATATGTATCACATGGAAAGTGCTAGTGTATTCAACCATCAAATTTTTTGACTGGTTGAATAGCCAATGAAACTTTTATTTTTCGGTGCTGAAGTAATTATATTTTTAGCAGAAACAAGGTCGCGTATCATATCTTGCAGCCAAAATCTGGCTTTACTTTGCAAGTTGTATGAAATTGCAATAACACGCTAAGATATTGGTGATAAACAAGTCCTGCAATGACAATAGAAGAAAGGGACTAAACGTTTTTACGAGATCGGGTTGAACCATATGATCCATATACATTGTTGACCCTCTGCAGTTGGAAAATGATACGTGAGAAGTCTTGTGGTCATTCACTGTAAACCTGCCCATATCGATGAACAATGTCAGTCAAGGAATTGATGTGTTTTGGTTGCATTACCACTCGTTTGTAGAGCTTTCAGCCCATGGATTCAAAGTCAAATAACTGAAATTTTGACCATTACAGCATTGATATTCAGATTTTTAATGAAGCATGTAACTGTATTTTTGGCACTGTTTTCCTTGTATTTATATAAAACAATTTGAAAAAGGCTCGCTATTGTTGATTTCTAAAGGACTAGTTATGAAAATGGGGTATTACATAATAAATAAATCATTCATGTTAGCTAATATTTTTATATTCATTTTATATCTTATTGTATTCCCACTATTTCACTCATCATATATTTATTTTATTTTATTATTTCTTCTTATATATCTCTGCCCACTAAAGATTATATACACTCAAAGAATGTAAAAGAACAACGATATTTATACATCTTGGGAAAAATAATTATTTTAGGGATGTATGAATAAAAATAATTATATACAATATTATATAATATATTATAGAAAAACTGAATTATAATAAGATTATTATTTTTATCTAATTCCTTTAATATCCATAAAAAGAGAGAACTAGTTTTTCTTAAAAAAACTTCACCAGGTATTTTTTTTTTCTTATTTGGTTTAGTAATTTTATTTTGAATAATATTTTATATAATATTAAAATATTAAAAATTAAAATATAAAAAATATTAAAAATAAAAAAATTATAAAAATTTAAATTTTTTATGATTATTATAAATAAATAAATTTATATTTTTTCATTCAAATAAGTAGAATTTGTATATATTAAAATAAGATTTGTTTAATATTTTAAATTCAATTTAATTTATGATGAAAAGATGTACTTCCTAATTCAGTGTGAAGCTAAATGAAGGGGCCGTGCAAAGATGCAAGTGTATATGAGAGTGTCAGGGAAATTTAAGAAGTCGTACAAACATTCAAAGGATAACCCAAATCCATAGGGAAAATCATTGGACCAACTCAATAACATCACCTCAGCTTCAGGGCTCGCTCTTCGATGTGGTCCAATCATATTATGTACCCAAATCGGCAACGCCAAATCAAACCAACAGGGTTACGGGCTCCACTTTCTAAATTGCAACTCATAAATTCGGGTACATATTCAACGTCGGGGTAAAAAAACTTTGGAATCTAAAAGAATTAGAATTGAAATTCAAGAAAAATGAGTTTTTCCTTTAGAGGACAGCTTTTATTTTTATTATTCAAAAGTCCTTAGAACTTTCTTTTGTTTACATAGTTAAATGTTTTTGTATCAGTTATAATATAAAAAAAAATACAATTGAAATTAAAG